TTCATTGCAGGCTAGAAAAAAAGAACATTCATGGGACAATTGGAAAAATTTGAATAAGGTCTATGGCTTTATCAAGAGTGTATGTATCAATGTCAATTTCCTAGCTTCAATAATTATACTGTAGTTAATCTAAAATGTTAACATCTGGAGAAGCTGGTAATGGATATACAAAAATTCTCTGTACTACTCTTGTAAAACTAAAATTATTTCAAAAAAAAAGAAGAAAAGGATTGGAGAAAAAACAGATCTACATACTAACTCATTTTGCTAATTTAGTTAAAACTTATTTCTGCACATCATTTTACTAGATCAGTCACCCATAATGGATGAAATAAGACTCTTACGTTCTTACAAGGACCCACAACTCTCATTTGTTGAACAAAAGCAGTTCGCAAGAACTAAATGCTCCACCAAATGGGCAAAAGGAGTAAAATGAATAAAGAAATGAATGGTAACATGCTCATAGCCCTGACTTCTCCTTTCCAATAGTAAGATCATTAATTATCCTTATCATTTCCTTACCATTTCCTGAGTAGACAGTAGGCCACCAGTAGATAAATTTTCCTAAACAATTATTCTGATCATTTACTTCCTTACTCCAAAACAGGACTTCAAACTGGTTCATGCCATGTCAACCCTAGCTGAGAATTGTCCAATATACTCCAGATACATATACTGAATCAGAATCTACATTTTAACAAGGTCCCCAGATGATTCTTATATATCCAAAAGGAATCAATCACCTGGGAATCTGTAAGACTCACCTGGGGATCTTGTTAAAATGTAGATTCTGATTCAGTTTATCTGGAGTGGAAAGGAAAATTTTCAGCAGGGGGGATCAAACCAGAATGAACTGGTTCAAAGCCCTGAAAGTAAATCATGTTGGGAATACGCCCCATGATGACCTTCTAAATTTAGCAAGTACAATGCTCAAAACATTGTTGATCTATTAACCCGTGTTCTTAATATCAAACGAACACATCCTGCTCTTAAGTGGGTGTTTTGGTTCTCTTGTGCCACTCTAACAGAAAATATCACAAATGGGTGACTAACTGCAGTGGTTCAGTTTGTGTCAACTTGGCTGGGCCTGGCTGAATGGCCAGGCAGCTGGTGGTAGTACTCACCATGATGAGACTGGTAATCAACTCTATGGTGGAATCTACTGTGAGCAGCTGAGTAGTTGCCTCTGGGTATGTAGTCTGCTTCCTGTATATAAGAAACAGCTTTGGGAATGGTCTCCAGCTTATGGCACACTTGGACCCTGAATGTAACCGTGTCATTATTCAGCAGCCTGCTATGCTCTGCCAACCTTGGGACTTAAAATGGACTTGAGTTAATGGCCTGCCATGTGGTTTGATAACATCAGGACTGTGCCTTTTTACTTGTCAATCTTGGGCTTCGCAGCCTCAGCAACCAGCAGCTGTCTGAGTGAAGAAAAGCCTCTAGCTTCAGTGGGCCGGAAGCTGGAGGCAGAGCTGAAGCCCAAGGCTGAGGGGCTTTCACCCAGCCCCTAAAGCCTGGCACTTTGAACTTGGACTTAAAGCCTCCAAATTTTAAGAATAAACTCCTGTTTGTTAAGGCCATCCCATCTGTGGTGTATTTCTTGTCAGAGCAGCACTATGTAATAACAGGAGTTTATTCTTGTACAGTTTTGGAGCTAGAAGTCCAAGTTCAAAGTGTCAAGCTCTAGGGGCTGGGTGAAATCTCCTCGACCTTGGGCTTCAGCTCTGCCTCCTGCTTCCAGCCCACTGGAGTTACAGGTGTTTCTTCACTCAGGCAGCTGCTGGCTGCTGAGACTGACAAGCCAATGGTCGACAGATAAAAAGCAGCACATTCCCTACATTACCAAACAAATGGCAGGCCACTAATTCAAGTTCAAAGACAGTCGCAAGATCAGCAGGAAACATGGCAAGCTGCTAAATGAAAACCCGGCTACATCCAGAGTCCAAGTGTACCAAAAAGCTGCAGACCATTCCCAAAGCTTCTCCTTATATACTGGAAGCAGATCATATCCCTAAACCATCTACTCAGCTACTTGCAGCAATAATCCACCATGGAGCTGATTGCCAGTCTCACCATGGGGAATAACTACAACCAGCTGCCCAGCCACTCAAAATCAGGCCCAACTAAGCTGACACATAACCTTAACTACCACAATGGGCAACCACTGTGTTGTGCAATCCCTTTATTTTGTAAAAAGTTCTGAGAAATAGCACCAAACAACAGACCCAGAGATTCAAAGAGCCACCACAGACCAATATAAGCAATTTTTCTCCCTAAATAAAATACAGGCATAATTCTCTAAAACTTGTTGTCTTCATTAGTTCTCAAGTTAAACAGAGAAGTCAGTGAACAAAAGCCCCAAGTAATCTTACCAAAGGTATATAAATGCCAAGTCATTTTAATATACAGCACATCCCACAATATTATCCAATATTACAAACTATTACTGTTAGCCTAGCTGTCACTCTATTTATAATAAACAACTTGATTTTCTCCCAGGACTGGAGATTAGGAGGTGTGGTCTGAGCATAAAAGGCAAATGCTCACAGAGCGTCCTTTCAAAGCTCCATGAAGTACCCACTCTTGCCCTGAGGAATCAACCATGTGTGAGAAAGAAGTGTCTGATTTCTTCACCTCAGCATATTTCTGGATACAATCAGTACATGAGGAAATTTGTCTTTCCCATGTTTCTGGAATTTCAGGTTAAGTTTATGATTTAACCCAAGCAATTCTTGACTTCTTAAAGGGACAATTCTTTTTAGGTTAATCAATCCAGCAAATTAATACCTTTGGGAGATGTTTACATTCGGGTAAGTAAATGTGCCAGGTTAGATCACATTTCCCAAAGGCTACTTTTCCAAAGCATTAGTGCAGAGAGGAAGAAAAACAGGTGAACAATTCATCTGTGCAAACAGCTTTGACTGAACCATCTCTTCAAATCTGATTTAGTGTTCAAGGCTTAACAAAGGAATTCTAGTGAAATGTTTGTTTATTGGAACTAGACATAATCTGACAAAACGAAAATCTAGCCAACTCATACAGAAATCTCAGTGCTCTTCACCTAAACAGTAGGAAACAAACAAACAAATAAAAAACCCAATGCAGTCGAGTCAGTTTTGACTCATAACAACCCTAGATGGCAGCGCAAAACTGCCCCATAGGGTTTCCAATGCTGTCATCTTTATGGAAGCAGACTTTCATATCGTTCTCCCACAGAACAGCTGGGGGGTTTGAACCGCTGACCTTTCAGTTAGCAGCTGACAGTCTAACCACTGAGCCACCAAGTCTCCTTTAAACAAGAAAAGGGAATGCAATAGAATATGAAAGATGATGATAATGATGAAGAGGAGAAGAAAGAGGAAAACACCGTTCACTTAACTAGCATATCATTGTTTTAGAAGTGTTTTCCTTCTATCTATACAATAACCCCTTGAGTAGAACAAGCACTCATTGCTACCATTTCCATGAGGAAACTACTCACATGTTTTAGCTTACATAGAGAGTAAGATGCTAGGCCTCCAAGATTAACAGAATCACAAGCAAGACCTTGCCCAAAGGAAGGCACGGAAAGGACATCTTGTATTTTGCTGAGCAAAGTATCTGCAATAAACAGAAGCGCTAGATAACAAGCAAATTAAAAAAAAGGAAGTAACACTTTAATTTGTTTGGTTTTATGTTAAATCAGGGTTTTTTTGTTTTGTTTTGTTTTTTAAAGGGAGGTGGGGGCAAACAGCCAGTGTAAAAAGACATCCAGGACCAAGTTTATAAAGACTTCTTCAGCTCTTGACACTGGCATCTTGGTGGCAACTCCTTTGTAAAGACATCTAAAATTCTTATTCCTTATATAAAAGTGCCTAAGACATTTGACTGCTAACCAGAAGGAGGGCAGTTCAAACCCACCAATCACTCCACTCCTCAGAAGGAAGACTGTCCAATCTACTTCCATAGTGATACTGCCGCAGAAACACAAGGAGGAGTCCCTATGAGTCAGATCCAACTCAACAGCAGAGCGTTTGGTTTTGGTTTGGTGGTGTAGTGGATAAGGTATCTGGCTGCTGACCAGAAGGCCAGTGATTCAAACCTACCAGCTGCTCCGTGGAAGGAAGATGGGGTGATCTACTTCTGTAGAGATTTATAGCCTCAGAAACCCAATGGAGTTTTAACTTGATGGCAGTGAGTTTTTTGTTTTGTTTTGTTTTGTTTCTCAATATAAACGTTCAGACTAGGGTTATGTACTCTGGGATAATTTCATGGTATTTCTCAATTTAAAAAAAAAGACACAAAGCACATCAAATCCTGTCTTATTAAAAGTGCTATAATTCACAGTAAAGGAAAACGAAACATAAGAGGTTACTTTAATGAAAAGTAACATAAAATAAACCCTAAGTTCTCTCCAAAATTACTAAACAATAAAAACAATCTAAAATTTAAAGTTTTATCCCAAATATCTAACTATTTTCTTAAATACATTATAATACAACCATAACTAACATTTTCGGTGACAGTCTGTATTTGCCATAGACTCCACTTATATTCTTCATTAGTTAACAAATTAGTTCTACTCAATGATCACCCAGTTCATTAATTAAACAGAAGTTTATAAGTTGTGTAATTTCTTTACTTATTTTAAATAAATATTCCCTTTGATTCCCAAAAATAAATGAATAAATCCCCTTCTCAGATGTATTCATTTCTCCCAGATTTAATTCTACAGATTCCATTGCACTTAAGTTTACTTTTAAATAAAACTTTAATATATATGAAACTTTAAATGAACACCAAACTTCCATAAATACAACTATTGAGATTTAGACATAAGAACACTGAAATTAATTTGACATTTACTTTTTCTTTAGATTTCATTTTAAATTTATTATTTTTGCCTTATCATCAAAGGAAGTCCTGAACTCAGAAAAAAATTCGTTTATACGTTAGATAGAGTATTGCTTCTGATGCTCCAAAGTGAGGTACACATTTTGATACTGAATGTCTCTTACCTTCTGATAAATCATATGGCACATGGCTACTCTTAACCTCATTCCAGCACACTGAACATGATAAAAGTATAAGTGGTGCAGTATGGCCAAAATGAGTGTGCATATAGTCAGCACTGTGGCATAGACGTATGCTGTGTGCAAAGCCGCCGAATCAGTAGGATTGTAATTTTCAAAATAATTAATAATTTTTCCCAAAAATATAGGCTGAATTACTTTAGTGCCTTCCTAAAAGAGGAGAGAAACAAAAAAAACCTTAATTAAAATTACAAATCATACCATTTTTTCTTAATAAAACTTTACTTTTATTAGCATGCTAAAAAAGCATTATGACAAAGTGCTAGAGTCATCATTAGCCTAAAAGAAAAATAGAAATATTTTACTGTTTAAGACCAACAGATAAAACTTTTAATCTTAAGCTAAAATATAAATTCAAAGACAACAAATCTTTAGTACATTGTAGTTGATACAGTGTGGATGCTCAATAAACATTACTACCAATGCCTTAAAATCCATTTGGCAAATGACCAAATAAGCCTTGGCTAAAGATGAATAAAAAAGATTGTAGTAAAACAGTTACAAGGACTTTGCCTGCACATGTACACACCAGCTTGCAACCTGCTCATTTCCTCTGCACTGTCAACAACCTATTCCAAAGGAAAATTAAACCAGTTGCCACCCAGTCAACTCCAACTCATGGCAACCCTAAGTTTGCTCCACAGTCTTCAAGCTGCTTTTTCAGAAGGAGATACCCAGATCTTTCTTACAACACGCTTCTGCATAGACTCTATCTGCCAACATTTTGATTAGCAGCCAAGTGCTTAAGCCACACAGGGTCTTCTTCAAGGAAAGTTAAGATGGTTTGTTCAAAGAAACACACTTGCCACTTCCTTCTGCCCTAAGAGCCTTTATAAACTGATACACTGGCACAAACGCAGATCAGAAGGGAGAACCCTCTAATCTTTACTGACCCAAGCTCCACACAGTCATAGATCTAGAAGAACAGTCCTACTTCTGACTCACAGCAACCTTACAGACAGAGTTAAACTACCCCACAGGGTTTCCAAGGCTGTAAACCCTATGGAAGCAGACTGCCACATTTTTCTCCCATAGAGCAGCTGGTGGTTCAAACTGCACACCTTTTGGTTAGTTCCCAAGCCCTTTAACCACTGTAACACCAGCATTTCTATTCAAGTATTAAAAAGGAACCAGACTTGGTTGGTCCTCAGGCTCTTGGTCTCAAGGGAGGAGAGCTCATTCAATATGCCTCTATCATCTAGAAACTGGTACATAAACAGGAGTACTACATTTATGGTTCAACTAGTCTAGAGTCAAAAATTAAACATGGCACAAGTTAAGCAAAAATATAATGCCATCAGTTGATCTCTATCAGTCATGCATTTCAGGTGCTGGTTTTGAAGAAATATTTATAATCATCTATTCCCCAAGGCCACCACCCTAGCTACTAGTTTGCCATACTGTGGTGGCCTGCTTATTGCTACAATGCTGGAAGCTATGCCACCAGTATTTCAAATACCAACAGGGTCATGCAAGGGAGAGAGATTTCAGGAGAGTTACCAGACTAAGACAAGGGATGAAGAAAAGCTTGGTGATCTATTTCCAAAAGTAGCCAACGAAAATCCTATGGATCTCAAGAGAATATCGTCTGACATAGTGCTGGAAGATGAGCCCTCCAGATTGGAAGACACTCAAAATAAACAGCAGCCACAACAAACTTGAGTATATCAATGGTTGTGAAGATGGCACAGTACCAGGCAGCATTTTGTTCTGTTGTACATGGGTCACCATGAGTTGGAGCCAACCAGACAGCAACTAACAATTCTAAAAGGCAAAATTTAAAATTCTGTACTATTGAGTTGGGAAGGAGCTCTGGTGACATAGTGCCTAAGGCATTTGACTGCTAACCAGAAGGCTGGCGGTTCAAACTCATCAGCCACTCCTCGGAAGGAAGACGGGGCAATCTACTTCCATAGTGAGAGTGCCTCAGAAACCCAAGGAGGGGTCGGTATGAGTCAGACCTGACTCAATGGCAGTGAGTTTAGTTTATTGAGTTGGGAAGCACTGGGGCTTACTTCCTGAATAAGACATAGGGAAAGCAATTTTCTTTACCAAGACTAAAGGCAAAGCAACAACAGAACAATGCTTTTGAGCCACAGTACACAACCAGCAAAGGAGTTCTCCTTCCCTTGCTCATATGCTTCTCCCTGCCAAATGGCCACCCCACACCAAACCAACTTCCTCCCTCTAGTAATCCTTTTGTAAGGTACCCTGCCTCTCCCATAAAAACAAACTAAGCAGTTACTGAAAATCCAAGTCACCAAATATAAATACAAACGCCCTTGACATCATTTCCTCTACAGATTTCTAAAGAGACTAAATGGCAAACGTTTGGAAATCTATCAAGAACTCAACTCTGGAATAAGCTTTTCCTTTTAAGCAATCCCTTCTTATTAACACAGATGAAACAGACAGGTTTGCTTTTGATAGCTGTTTAGTTTGAAAAGAGAAATTCATGCACAGAAGGGAGGGAAAATCCAAAAAAGAAAAACTAAATTAAATTAACATACATTTTCTTCCTAATCACCTTATGCCCAATTAGGGCATTTACAAAAAGATAGCTTCTGCCCTCAAATGGGTAGACATTAAATAACATCCTTGTATTGCTGTACACACACATATACACACACACAATGACAGGCTTCACCAAGAGCTTCCCTCTAATACTATCAAGGAAATTTTCACCTACTATAACAACAACAACAACAACAACATACAGAGGTATGGGAAGTTAAAGAAATAAAAGTAAGATGATCGTTTCTGGAGACCACAAAGACGCACTGTTACTTTTCCAGCACTCTCAATGATTCATCTCAGAGGCATGAAAAGATTATGGAATAGCTCCCCGCTAAAACAGTGGGTCATAAAACAGACTGTTCAGTGTTTACTGAGACAAAAATATGTAAGTTTATACATAAAACAAGAATGCCAACCTGTACACATGGGCAGCCCCAGCCTAGGTGTGGCAGAGAGCAGCCCAGATCAGGATAATGCAACCTTGGTTCATCCATGAGAAGCCCAGTGGTAATTCCTTCAGTCCTATACTTTCCTAAAGCTGATAATTATCTCTGGGAGTCACTGTTGCTTATTACACAGTCCCCCATTTGGTATGGTTTGAGAGGGGTCCAGAAAGAATGCTGATGGCTGTAACAAATCCAACCAAAAAAAGTGCAAAATGAAGGCAGTTCACTACCATCTAATCATCTGAATTTTTCTGCTTAGCATTTAATGATTCAGTCATGCAAATACGCTCACTGAATAATGCTGGTTTGGAGCTCATGCAGTCTCACTGATCTATTAATCCTTAATCTCAACCCTCAATAAGTAAGAAATAAAATAATTGAGGAAATACTCATCATTCCACTTGTAATTAACCAAATTAAAACTTTCCAGTTAGCAGGAAGGTCAAAAATTGCTCATACCTTCTATCTTTTACATCAATCAATCAATCACCTATAGGCTGGTGGTTCAAACCCACCAGCCACTCCTCAGAAGGAAGGTTGGGCAATCTAGTTCCATAGTGATACTGCCTCAGAAACTCAAGGAGGGACTGCTATGAGTCAGGTCTGACTCAATGGCACATAACAACAACAACATCAATCACCTGGTTAAGATTCTTTCCACAAACCTACTGAGAATATAATCTTCATTCCTTCTCACAAGAATTATTTTCAACTCTGAAATTACAAGGGATTTTATAGGAATTCAATATGATACCAGTGTTAGAACTGTTTGAAGGTAGATTATTTCAATAATTTGACAATATACACTATTTGGCCTCCTTAAAGCACCTGACATTGGGCTCCACTGCTTACTTCTTAGGGTCACTTATTACGTGGCAAGAAGCTAAAATTTTCCCAGTGGACATGCTGCCTCTACCAGGTTCTCCCAAGTACTTGAGGTCTCTTACTCAACCCCACCATCCCCAATTCATGAGAAGGAAAGAAAAGACAAGAAATTGAAAGAAGCTATCAAAAAAGGTTTTAGTAAAAACTGCTTAGAGGAAAAATATGAGTGAGCTTGTTAGAAAATAAACAAGCAGTTAATTTGAGAAATATCAAAATAGGTGACACAAAGGTAGATCTGAAAAAGATGCAGAGTTGAGGAAAAACAAATGAGTCTGGGAGACAACAACCATCAAGATTCCAAATAAAATTATTTTTAAAAACCCTGTTGCTGTTGAGTAGATTCTGACTCATGGAAGCTCTGTGTGCGTCAGAGAACTGGGCTCCACAGGGCTTTCAATGGCTGTGACCTTTAGAAGCAGATCACAGTGTCTTTCTTCCAAGGTACCTCTGGTGGATCTGAACTGCCAAGCTTTGGGTGACTACCCAAGTATTTAACTGTTTGTGACATTCAGGGAATCTTAGATATACCTTACTTAGGTCTTCTTTTAATCAGTACTCTTCAATCCTTACTGCACTTTAGAACCATCTGGAGAGGTTTAAAAGAATACTGATGTCCAGGCCTCAACCACTAGAGACTGACTTAAATTTAATCTTAGGGGTAGGGCTGAACAGTCTCCCTGCCTAGAAGATTCTGAAGCACAAATACTAACCCCTTGAAATCATGTGCTCTGCTACTCCCCTTCACTATCACTGCATCTGAGTCTGGGGAGGGCTGAATATCCACTTTGAAGTACTTAAAAAAATCATAGTTTTAATCAGGGTCACATGCCACATAATCACATTTCTAAGAAAAAGCCTTATGAACCCAAAGTCCTTAGCTTTCAATGATAAAAGTAATACCCTCCACCATGCAGGGTAAAAAAACAAAAAACAAAAAAAATCAATATTCAGAAAAGACTGTATTTACAAAACAAAAGAATGAATTATAAATTGTTTTAAAGTTACGTCTAGAAAGAAAGAAGGAATAAAAATGGAAGACAGAAATGACAGCTGCAGTGAATTGCTTGATCTGGCCCTTCTAGCCATTGTCCTCCATTCTGTGATGTTTTGTAAATCCCATTATCCATGCCTGTTTGGGGTGCTGTGGTAGTTAAGGTCAGGTATCAACTTGGCTGGGCAGCTGGTAGTAGTCCTTCCCTATAATGACTGGCAGCCGACTCTGTGATGGGATTTAGGTTATTTCTGTTGGGGCAACACAGGTGGAATGTATCTTGAGTCCTGCCTTGCTGGAGGGTGTAATTC